TCTATATGCAACATCCAGTTATGCCATTTGTTGAAGATGCTTTCTTTTTCCCATTGTATAATTTTGGCTTCTTTCTCAAAAATAAGGTGTCCATAGGTTTCTGGATTTACGTCTGGGTCTCAATTTGATTCCATTGGCTACCTGTCTCTTTTTATGCCAATACCAAACTATCTCTTCACTCTTTAAGCCCTCTTCTTCTCACATGGGCCTTTCTGGCTGCCTGAGCCCTATAGACACTCCACATTTCAATAGACAAATCTAAAACTGCAAAATTAGGATCCACATAATAGAGAGGTTGTGCAGTATTTTTTTGGGGGGGGTGGCGTGGGGTCTGGGATACCTTGCTTAGTATAATATTTTTCCAGCTCCATCCCTTTTCCTGCAAATTTTCTAGGTCCATTTGCTAAGAATACTTCTTTCTATCTGACCCTAAGATAATATCTGTCTTTAGTGGGTGAGTTTGATTTCTTGGAAGTAGCAAATAGATGATTTTTGTTTTTTGGTACAATCTATGAGACTGTCTTTTGTTTCAGGAAATAAGACTTTTGATAAAGAGGCAGGTGAATTTCTGTAGTTTGAGACCAGCCTGGTCTACAAAGCTAGTTCTAGTCCTGCCAGGATTATGCAGTGAGATCTTGTCTCAAAAAGCCAAACCAAGTCAAAATAAGCTAGGTGTGGTGGAACATATATTTAATGCCAGCATGATCTATGTAATGAGTTCCCAGGACTGTCAGAGCTACATAGTCAAACCCTGTCTCAAAACTAAACAAAAAACATCTGTAGACATGAGGCAGTGGTGGCACACGTCTTTAATTTAAGCACTCTTGGCAGAGGCAGGTGGATTTCTATGAGTTTGAGGCTGGCCTAATCTGTAGAGGGAATTCTAGGACAGCTAAGTCCACACTGAAAAACCCTGTCCTTTGCGTGTGTGTGTGTGTGTGTGTGTGTTTAAAAGTAATTCTTAGTATAAATTTATCTGATTTATTGTTTATTGGTTTGCAGTTGTTTAGGGTTCTACTCTGTGATTAGCCCAGAAACAAACGGAATGCTTGTTGAGTAGCCACTGTGTTGTACAAGAGGATGGCGGACTGCCTCCCGCCACTCGACTAGCTTTAGCTGAAATAATTACATGGAAACTGTATTCTTTTAAACACTGCCTGGCCCATTATATCTAGCCTCTTATTGGCTAACTCTTACATATTGATTCAACCCATTTCTAATAATCTGTATCTCACCACGAGGTCGTGGTTCACTGGGAAAGATTCAGCATGTCTGATCTGGCAGCTTCATGGCGGGTGGCTTTATGCCTCTGCTTTCTTCCCAGCATTCTGCTCTGTCTACTCCACCTATCTAAACTGCTGTTCTATCAAAAGCCAAGGCAGTTTCTTTATTAACCAATGAAAGTAACACATAGACAGATGACCCTCAACATCACCACTGTACTTGGCTGAGAGATTATAGTGGGGAGAATAATAAGGCCCCACTGTGAGTGTACAACTGGGTGCTGAGACCAAGCTGGAAGTACTGCTCCCTTGGACATCCTACATGTTAGTAATTTCTGAGTCTTCTTTTTCCTAGAATCATAGGGTTTTTTGTTTGCAAATCCTGGTTAAGATTAAAGTCCTGTTTCTCCCACACTCTGCAAGTCTGCAGTTTTGATAGTTTTTTCCAAGAGCCAACTTTTTCTCTTTTTTTTTGTTCCATATTACATTTATCTTCGTTTTAATTTTTTTCATTTCTTTTTCCTTTCTTTTCTTTTCTTTTTCTTTTTTTTTTTCCAAGAGGTTTCTCTGTGTAGCCTTGACTGTCCTGGAACTCACTCTAGACCAGACTGGCCTTGAATTTACAGAGATCCTCTCGCCTCTGCCTCTTGAGTGCTGGGATTAAAGACGTGTGCTACCACTGACTAGCTCTTTATCATTTCTTAAATGTAATTGTTTTAGTTTTTATTTTTCTTTGCTTCCAGTGTCACAAGGTGAGGGATGTTAATGATTTGAGATCTTTTTAAGATAGACGTTTGTAACTATAAATTTTCTTATAAATATGTCATTGACCACATAAATCCTCCTATTTCATATTTTCATTATCACTTACCTCTGTATTTTTTCCAATTTCTTTTATGATTTTTCAAATTGATCCATTGGTTTCTTGGGAATGTACTATTTAGTATCTGTATGTTTGTAAATGTATCAACTCTTCCTGTTATTTCTACTTTTATCCAGTTGCAGTTGGACACAGTACATTTTATAGTTTCAGTACTTTTAAATTACCATTGCTTGTTCAGTGTCTTATTTTTATTAATCTCTTTGTATGTTGTCCTGTGTATTGATTTGCACATATGAGACCAAGTGTTCTCTGAAAATTAATCCCCTGGAACTAGTGTTTCAGAAGTCTCCTGATGTGATTGGTGTTCCATCCTGCTGATGAAAAGAGCAGCAAGCATTCTTAACCTCTTCCTCATCTCTCCAGTACTCTCTGTCTCCACATAGTACTGATTGGCTTGAAATTTATATAAGCTAGGCCGACCTTGATCTTATAGTAATCTCCCTACATCTTCCTGAGTGCTAGGATTATGGATGTATACCTTCACACCCAGTTTAAATAGTTCATGTTTAAATTTTTTCTCTGTACATATCTTAGTGTGGGGTAAAATATCTCTGAATGTGTGTTGAGTTTATTTATACTGCTTTTATCTTCCTTGTTGGTCTCCTGTGAGTTTTTGGGGTACTGCTAGGCATTGTCCTTAGGGCCTTGTGTGTAAAATAGGTACACCTCCTTCCCTGATCTGTCTAGTTCTGTATGTTTAGTGAAAATTTTATTAGTGTTCAACTATTGTTCTTGTCAGTTACAATTTTTCTTTGTGTGTTTTAGGCTTTGTAGTTTTGTTACCTGTGATAGAATCTGATTGTTGTTTCTCGATTCTTGGCCTCTTATTCAGGGAACAAGATAAAGGAGGTACACACAAGGTGCAAAGTAACAAACTTTATTCTAAAGCAAAGCCATAGTGTTTAATCAGAAAGAGACACTATCTTTAATCACAGCTGGTCACGTGATTGAGATTACTAAGGACCTAAATAATTGTTTGGTCTTCCTTTTGAGAAGAAGGATCTGGTTACTAAGGGATTTAGTTTTGTTTTGATCGACAAGCATGGATTATATAAGTCTTTGCACATCCCTTCCATTGATAAATGTCTTAGTTAGGATTTCTGTTGCTGCCATAAAGCACCATGACCAAAAAAAAAAAAAAAATTAGCTAGGGAGGAAAGCGTTTATTTGGCTTATTCTTTTGCATCACAGTTCATCTTTTTTTCTTTCTTTTTTTTTTTTTCTTGAGACAGGGTTTCTCTGTAGCTTTGGAGCCTGTCCTGGAACTAGCTCTTGTAGACTAGGCTGGCATTTAACTCACAGAGATCCGCCTGCCTCTGCCTCCCGAGTGCTGGGATTAAAGGTGTGTTCCACCACTGCCCGCCATATTTTGCTCGATTCTGTTTTGTTATTATTACGGCGACTTTTGCCTTCTTCTGACTGCTGTTGTGTGATTGTTCTTTTCACCTTTCTTTCTTGAGAGTAGGTCTTCATAGTTAGCTTAGACTGGCCTCAAATTCACTCTATACGCCAGGATGCTTTTGAATTCTCAGCCTCCCACATGCTGAACCTCTACTGTGCCCAGTTTCAAACTTTCAGTGTTTCTAAATCTAAGATAAGTCTTAGGAAAATTCAAAAAAATGAATTTGATATTTGCTTTATTTAGTCCTGTGCTTTTGATATAGTTGACATTTAGCTTTGATAATTGTTTTTGTTTTCTATTTCCTTGTTTCATCCTTTTGTTTATATTAAGAGGGTTTTTTTAAGTATACCATAATTTCTTTAATGATTTTTCATAATTTTTTTTTTTTGGGAGGATCAGTTCCTTCAACGAGGTATTTAGGGTGGTGACAAAATTGTGGCATGTTTCTCTTGGAGTGACATTTTATAGGAGTAGGCTGTGTGTGGACCTTTCCCACGGTTTTCTCCCATCAGAGACATACCTTATAAAAGCACTAGAGTCATGGTCCTTGGGGTTCAACTGTTCTTTTTGTGCCAACTGAGGGATACCTCTGGTGAGTGGGGATTCTGGAAAGGAAAAGTAAACTTGCCTTCCTATGGATGATTCCTTACCAGATCCTTAATCCTCCCTGTGGAATTAACTCTGAAGGAACAATGGCATGTCTCCACCAAGGGTAGATTCCATTCTTCACTATAACACTGTCATACTTGGAATGTTTTGGATTTTGGAGCATATTGGCTTTCATTGTTTCAGGTTTAAAATGTTTTGGGAAAGTCTAGGCAAATATTCTAAAAAATCTGAAATACCTCTAGTCAGAGGCATTTTGGATGCTTAATCTGTATGACATTTCTTCTGGGGATTTTTGTTCTGTTTGGTCAGTTTATGTAGTAAATTTTAAAAATGTTCTATGTGTATGATTGTTTTGCTTGCATATATGTTTGGACCACTTGTGTACAGTGTCCTCAGAGGCTTGAAGAGGGCAGTTCCTCTGGAACTGAACTTAAAGAGAGGGTTGTAGGTTTCCATATGGGTTCTGCAAGATCATCAAGTACTGCTGAGGCCCCATCCATCTTAATATACTTTTATAATATCAGTATCATCAAGGAAAAGTATTTTGCCTACTTTAATAGTATCTTTTTATATTCTAAGATTTAAAAATATTTTTGTACAGCTAATTTTTATTTTTTAATAAGACAGGCTCTTACTATGTACCCTCACCTGGCCCTGAGCCTGTATTCCTTTTGGCTTAGCTTCCTAGTCCTAAAATTATAGGTATGTGCTGCTTGCTCAGCTTAGCTTTGAATGAAAACATTTTGCCATCTTATGCTAATTAGTGAATATGGAGTTCATTATATTTCGGCATTTCTTCTGAGCATTTCCTAGTGTTGGAATGGGAGACAAAAGTATGTGATGCTTGTGTTTAGAGTCACAGTTGTTTTTCTTTTAATTATAGGGACAGTTTTGATCAAAAGTAACAATGGTCAGTTGATGCTGGTATCTCCTCAGCAAGCTGTAACAGGAGCCAAGACCACAAGTAACATAACTCCAAGGCCAGCAGTACCAGCAAATGCTCAAACAGTCAAGATCTGTACAGTGCCGGTAATCTACCTTAATTTCCTTAATTTCCAGCTACTATCTTTATATAAATGTGGACCTGTTTGCCAGTAAAAAATTGAGATAATTTAAGTGCCAATTTAGTTTTGATACTTGGTAATTGCTAAAATAATGAAAACTATACCTTCATACTCAGTGATTTTATTGTCCTCAATGGAATTTTTCAAAGGGGCAGTATGCATCTGTTGAAAGAAAACAACTATTCTGAGTCAGGGTTTTAGAATGTGTGAGTATGTGGTTGTCTGCCTGCATGTGTTTTCATATGAGTCTACGGGCTAGAGGCTGAGAGCTATTGGATATCTTCCTCAGCTGCTCTTCGGTGTATTTTTTGAGACTGGTTTCTCATTGAACTTGGAGCTCACAGATGGACTAGACTCTAGGCTAATCAGCAAATTCCCAGAATACTCCTGTCTTTGCTTTCACAGCAATCCCCCCACCTGTTGGTTTTGGTGTGGTTTTGTGTGTGTTTACTTTTTACGTAGTGCTGAGGTCTGAATTCAGATCTTCATGCTTATGAAAAAGCACTATACTGATTGAGCCATCTACCTATCTCTGTTTCACTTTTAATTTGTAGTTAGTAAGACTCCTATTTAAAATATTCATTTTCATCCATATATTATAGAAATTACTTCCAAGTAGTATAGGAGTCTGCTTTAGTATTTCATTAGTTTTGTCTTGTTTGAAGTGACTTTTTTATAAAGTTGTTGATCTTTTTATGTATCTGAAATTACTTTGTTTTTTTTCCCACCCCACCCTCTGAAATTACTTTGTGTCAGTGAATTTAAAAATATTCTTATGAACATCTGTCTTAGTTAAGGTTTCTATTGTGTGAAGAGACACCATGACCATGACAACTCTTGTAAAGAAAAACATTTAATTGGGGCTGACTTACATATCAGAGGTTTAGTCCATTATAATCATGGCAGGACATGGCAGCGGGCAGGCAGACATGGTGCTGGAAAAGGAACTGAGAGTTCTATATCTGGATCTGCAGGCAGCAGGGAGAGAGAGGCACACTGGCTAGGTTTGAGCATCTTGAGACCTCAAAGCCTGCCCCAAGTGGTGCACCTCCTCCAACCATGCTACTTCTCCTTCAGCAAGGCCATACTAGTGCCACTCCTATGAGTCTGAGGGGGGCCATTTTCATTCAAACCACAACATTTTTATTTAACTCAAAAATATTTTATTTGAGTTAAATAAAAATGTTGGCATTAGAGAGATAGTTTGGTTGGTTACTTGTAGCCCAAGTTACTTGTAGCCCAAGCGTTAGGATTTGAGTTTGATATACTAAACAAACAAATGCCAGGTGCTATATCGTATGTACCTGTGATTTTGGCAGGAAAGTCAAGAGGATTCCAGGATTTGTTGTCTGGCCAGTAGAACCAAATTCAAGAGCTCTCAGTTTAGTGAGACACTCCCTCAAAAATTAAGGTAGAGAATAATTGAGGTAGATATCCTATGCAAAGGTTGACTGCCTTCCTTTCTATCCTCCTCCTTCTTTTCCTCCTTTTAAAACTTTATTATTACATTTGTGTGTTTGTCTGTGTGTGTGTGTGTGTGTGTGTGTGTGTGTAATATGTATGCCTTAGCTGTACTTGTACAGGTCAGAGGCCAACTTTCAGAAGTCACTTCTCTCCTATCAGGATGGAACTCAGGTCGGCATCAAGTGCCTTTACCTTTATGCCATCTTCCTGGTCCTACTTGCAATCTTGATACTAGTTGCTCAATTAGTTATTTTCTGTCAATAGTGCATTTTCTTTCTAATTTATTTTAACTGTGGGTTAGCTTTTATTTATAATTAAATATTACATTTTATTTGTATAACAAATCAAGTTTAAGATTTTATTTTTTATTTTCTTATTGTATGTATGTATGTATGAGTGTGGGTGCATACATGCTACAGTGCTTGTGTGGCACTCAAAGAACAATCTTTAGGACTTAGATTTGTCTTCATCATGGGTTCTGGGAATCATATGCAGATTATAAGGGTTGTATAACAAGAGCTTTTTAATCCCCTGAACAGTATTCTTGGCCCAAGTTTAAAATTTTAGTTGGAAAATTAACATAAACGAAAAGGTTATTTTGTGAATCAGTTGCCTTCTTTAAGAAATGTTAGCTGGTCAGTTGACCAGTTAAGTCACAGTATAGAATGTTCATAAAATACAGTATATAGCAAATATTTTTGTGAAAGTCTTTTCATTTTCTTCCCAATACTGATTGATTTAAAATAATTAATATTGACTAGGTGTGGCAGAGACAGGTAGAGCTGTGTGAGTTCTAGGCCAGCCTGGTTGACGTATTGAGATCTAGGGCAGCCAAGGCTACATAGTGAGACCCTTTCTCGATAAAACAAAATAAAAAATAAAACCAAAATGACTAGTATCAATTACTTTGTTATCTTGTCTTTTTTTCCCAAGAATTCTAGCTCACAATTAATGAAGAAAGTAGCAGTGGCTCCTGTTAATAATTTGACACAGATAGGAACTACTGTGGCATCCACTGCCTCCAGTGCTTCCTCAGGACAAGTAAGTGGTATGCGTGTGTGAGATATTTAAGTGTCTAACTATGTGACGTTGAAGGCAGCATATAATATATGATGCTGTTATCAGGCTGAACCATTGGAGATGTAGCAATAAGAAAAAGTGGTATTATTAACCATCCGTTTCATAAATGCATTCAACATATTCATAGATGTATTCATAAATATATCTAACAACCACATATTACAGATTCCAGAAGGAGATGCTAAAATAGAATATGATGGATAAGTTATTTTTTAGAAATCTATACTTGTGAATAGAGGGAGAGTAAGTTTAGCCTGAGTTCATGATTGATAAAGTTCCAGCCAACCTAATAGAGAACGTTAGAGCACATGTACCTTGTTGGCATTGGATCACTGCTGGGCTTTACTGAACTTTCCTGGGGAAATTACACAAGGTCTCTTCTTTGCAGCAGAGACATTACTGGAACTCATAAACTGAAAGTCTCCAATAGAATTCTAGCAGCCAAGACAGTACAAATCTCTCCTTGCATAAGTAAAATGACAATTATATTATAAAATGAGTTTTGAAAGGGATATTTAAACCATAGGATCCTCTATTATGTGATAGCAACTACATCTTTTCAGATGATGGGAGTTAATTACCCCTCTCAAGGTTCAGACTCACCTTTCCATCTGGTCCCTGAAATACATAGGCACTGGAAGTACCAGATAACAGCTGTCATGTCTGGTCTCCTAAGGAAAATGTGTCCCCCGTGAGCAGAAATGGAAAGCACAGAGTCTCCCAGTGGTTATTAGAACTGAGTAAGGGTCTATTCATACATCTGTTCCTAAGTTCCTTGGTCCATGTATCTGTCCTACCACGAGGGCAAAGTACCATATAGAATGTTTTGACTTAGTGATTATCCTGAATCTTGGAAGATAGAATCTCATCCCTAATAAGTGTATCGACCCAGTTTATCTGTGCTTGCTTTAGTCTATTATACTGTTCTGCTATGTTGGTAATTTATGAGTAATTCTGTATGTGAGCCACTAGTGGGTCCCATGGTCTGGTTACCCATGGTTACGGTTCTTCTGTCATGAAGAAAGATGCATCGTCTTGGTGCTTACCTAGGTAGAATACTGTACTGATGATGAGTCCTTCTGTTGGTGTTGTAAAATTTATTTAATCATTCTTTTTATATACCTTATTTTTTACTAATTGGGGTCATAAGCACAAGTCTAATTTAGAAATAGTGCTTCAAAAAATATTGGCTAGCCATTTTTGAACACTTAGTGTTCTTTACGTTTCCTAGGTATTTTACATGTCTTGCAATCCATTAATCACCTCAATTCGTCTTTGTTAATTGGAGTATTATATTCATCTATATATGTAATAATAAGTTAGAGAGGCTAAGAAATTGACCTGATTTCTATGTGGAAGAATGTATATTTTAGCCTCAATGTTTTAACTTTGGAAACTATTCTTGAACTAGAGTACTTATTGATTAGGCCCGACTGTAGATTCTCTCTAAAAGTGTCTTTTTTCTTTGAATAGGTGTCAGTGTTTGTTTAAAATGACTTGGGAAACATGTCTTTTTGTTGTTATTATGAAACAAAACCTATGTTTTTAAATATTTATTTATTATGTATACAATATTCTGTCTGTGTGTATGCCTGCTGGCCAGAAGAGGGCACCAGAACTCATTACAGATGGTTGTGAGCCACCATGATGTGGTTGCTGGGAATTGAACTCAGGACCTTTAGAAGAGCAGGCAATGCTCTTAACCTCTGAGCCATTTCTCCAGCCCCAACAAAACCTATTTTGAGGTCTTATGTTCAGTGTTTGTTTAGTGAAGATATAATTAGGCCTATTGTTAAGAACATAAATGTCTAAATGAACCAATTTAGAATTAGTATTTTATTTTTCCATTTTGGTTTTTCAAGACCGTTCTTTTGTATAACTGCTCTGTCTTGTAACTTGCTTCGTAGACTTGGCTGTCCTCAAACTCATAGAAATCTGCCTGCTTCTGCCTCCTGAGTGCTGGAATTAAAGGCATGTGCCACCACTGCCCGGCTAGATTTAGTATTTCTAATTGAATATGAACAAGCCTAATGTAATTGCTCTTTCAGACAGGTACAGAAAATGACCTTCTTGAAATATAGCACGATCTAGTAAACATTCATAAGTAATCTTCACACACATCCATTTCATATATAATCCAGGCATTTTCTCTGCTGTCTCCAAAATACATTTAATTAATGCAATTCAGTCTTGCTAATAATGGAAATACCATTGACAGCTCTAGAATATTTAATTCTAAGACAGAGTTATGATTGAGTTTAAGAAAGTCTGTTCAATACCGACGAGGAAAAACCAGGGTAAGATTTCTCCCCATGCCCTTTAAAGATCAGAATAGACATTAATACATATTTGGTAAGGTACAGAAAGAATTATGAAAGACAGCTTTGTGTTGGAGTATGTAATTTTTCCATCATTGCAAGAAATAACTGAGGTAAATCAACTGGAAAAGTTCTAATTTGTCTCACAGCTTTGTAGATTTTTATCTGTCACCTATAGGCCCTGTAGTGACGCAGTATAGATCATGAGTATGTATGATGCAGGGCATAGTGTAGTGAGTCTTTCTTTGTACCAGATTCTCAAATAATGACATGGAGACTTATTAATTATGAAAGCTTGACCTTAGCTTAGGCTTGTTTCCAACTAGCTCTTATAACTTAACCCATATTTTTAAATATATGTTCAGCCACAAGACTGTTTTTTTCTCTCCACATGGCTCTTTACCTTTACTCAGTATGCACATCTGACTTGCTCCAAGTCTGCTGGCAAAATCCGCATCTCTTCTTCCCAGAGTGCTTTCTCTCCCTAGAAGTTCTACCTATTCTTTCTTGCGTAGCTATTGGCTGTTTGCTCTTTTTAAGCCTGTCAGAAGGTGCCTTAGGCAGAGACATCTTTACAAGTGTACAAAAAGATTATCCCACAACAGGGTAGCTCACTTTATTATAGAAAGTCAAGAACAGGAAGAAGTGACTGCCAATAGTCCCTTCAAGGGTGCATCTTTAATAACTGGGCACTAGGTTCCATTTTCTCAGTGTTCTATTACCACTCAATAGTATCATGGGGCTGGGCCACAAGCTTTAGAGTATGGGCCTTTAGAATTCATTTAAGAATCAAACCAGAAATTGGTGAAAAAAGAAAATATTGGCAAGGAAGTAAGATTCTATGAATACTTTGTTCACGGATAACACCACTGCGTGAGCTGACATTTCACTGGATACTGTTTGTTTCATACATAGTAGACACTACTTCTCTGAGGAACTACTCCCACCATGCCTTGAAGGCATCATAATCACTAGTCAAAATTACAAGCCACACTTTTCTAAATGCAACCTTATAGATTATATGCCTAATTATTAATTTTGTAGTCCAGGTTTAACTTAACTTAGTGTGTAGCTGAGATTGACTTTAAACTACCGATTCTCTAATTTTCACCAAGTGATAGGATTTCAGATATGTGAACCACTTTTATCCCTGAAGAGTCTTCCTTATTGTTACAAACATAAAAGTTTAAGAGTCTTCAGAAGGATTCAGAAGCCATGTCACAGGTTTTATCTCTGGAAAATGTGGAAGAGTTCAAATTGGGGAAGGAATTCACTTAAAATACTGTATTTAAGCTTTCTGTTTAATGAAATTGGACTTTTTGAAAAAATCCTTTAAAAAAGTTATTTTAAGTGTATGGATATTTTGCCTGAATATATGTATATGTCCTGTGTATGTTCATGTTGTGGAGGGCAGAAGAGAGGGTTGGATCTCTCTGTAACTAGAGCAGAATTAGATCCACCTTGAACTCAGGTTCTCTGGAAGAGCAGCAAGTGGTCTTAATCACTGATCCATCTCTCCAACCCCTTAGTTTTACCCAGAATTTCATCACTGGTATTAGTCATCATTAATCAGTATTTTAAATTTACCTCCCATTTTACCAGAACATTCTGTCTGTATGTACCAGTTTATTTGAAAGGAGCTTGGGTATCCATTTACCTCTATCTTGACTTTTACAGAAAGTACTTTTCTCAAGAAGAATGCAGGAGTCTCAGTTACAGCTGTGCTGCAAGTGTGTTCTCTGTGCTCATTGTTCCTTCTACTATGCTTTTTTTGTTGTGTAATCTTTAGTATATTTGTTGCTGTATCTCTGGTTTTCTAATTTTGTTCTTAGCTTATAATTTTTGTGTTAAACTTTCTGACCTGTAGGTGGTGCTAGAATCACACCACCTCATCCTGATACATGTAGAAATTAACGAAATTCCTTTCTATGTGGAAATAAGACATCCCTCTCTTGTAATGCTGTTATGCTTATTTTGATGGTCCACATGAGATCAGCATAGGTGAGCATATTAAAATTAGTTATAACTTTTATACTTAAGAAAAAGCAGGATAGTACATAAAAGTATGAAAATTTGCTATTACAAATATATTTTTAGAGAAGTGCAAACGTGTATATGTGTTGTCTTGTGTATGCATGGTGTTGAATAAAGTTTTCCTCAACTGCTCTTTACCTTATTTTAAACAGTGTTTCTCACTGAACCTGGAACTTGTTGTTTGGCCTATAGTAGCTGTCCAGTGAGGATACTCCACTCTCCACCGCACAAACAGTTGGAATTCTAGAGTGCACCACCATGTCCAGCTTCTATGTAGGCACTGATGTTTGCATTCAGTCATCTTCCCAGATCCATTAATAATATCTTTTTATTAATACTTTAAAGACTTGTGTGGCACTGCTTTTCACAGGCCACCCTAGGGACAATAAATTACTTTTCTATTTTTGTTCTTGCAGGTGGGTGTCCAGATTAGGAGCTTAAAGTGACTTGCTGGTGACTAGCAGTGCAGTAGACGACAGGAGGGGTAGAATGAGGGGTAGAATGGTGCTGAGAGTGAGGTGCGCTCTGCTCTAGTCCAGCGTTCTGACGGAGAGCCGCTGAAAGCAGAGACGTCAGATGTAGTCTTTTCAGGGTCAAGTGAACTTTCCACTAAGGGATCATAGCAATACTCATTTAACTTTATGTTGACTTAATTTCAGTCTGTGACTGTACCTCCTGTCAAGCCAGTGAATACTGTAACTATCCTGAAGCCGTCAAGTTTGGGAGTGTTATCTACCCCCTCAAATGACTCCAGTCTCAAAGCAGAGACCCCAGTAGCTGCTCAGATTAGTCTTTCTCCGGTAAGCTTTCAGTTGTATCTTGTATATAGTTTTTTTCTTTTGCTGTATTTTATTTTCTGTGTGCTCTCATTTGTGATTATTTTTCTATTACAGGCAGTGCTAGAAAATGTGAAAAAATGTAAAAACTTCCTTTCAATGCTAATAAAACTTGCTTGTAGTGGATCTCAGTCTCCAGAAATGGGGCAGAATGTGAAGAAGCTGGTGGAACAACTTTTGGTAAGTTAGTATTATATAATTTTGCAAGCATTATGGGATTACATAGGACGTGTTTCAAATGGGAAATGAGAATGTTTTAATGAAATTTGTTTTAAATATACTTGCTAAAACTTTACTTCATTAAAGCTTTGTAATTGCTACAGCTAAACAATCTATGTACAAAAGAGTAAATCTTTATTTAATTTTACCGTATATCTAAGATGAACATGAATTTTGAATATATGTGATTTTTATGCCAATCTTTTTTATGTATATTTTGTCAAAAGATAGCAACAGTTATAAATTCATCAAATATCATTTCTAGTTAGAGATTTATTTATCTCAGACCAACAGACTGCAGTTCTCAAAATTGTGGTGTAGGATACATTAATATTAAAAATAAATAACCCCTCAAGATATTTTTGTTTGGCCCTTGGAATTAAAACTATTTATTCAACTAAGAATAACAAAGCCATTATACATTAGCATATGTAATATTTAAAGAAAAACTACAGTTTCCAAAATAATGAAACTGAGTGGGAAATGAGATTGATTTGTATTTTGTAAATTTGATGCTGTACTTAATAGAAAACACCTGAATAAATTCTTCTCTTATTTTATTTTATGATGAGTTGTTAGAGAATTTGTTGTCCAAGTTAGGGAATTACTATTTTCTTGCAGAAAAGTAGTTGGAATATTAAGCATTATTTTAGTAGCCTTCTACTATAGATCTGTGTGGATATTGTGTAGTCTACTAGCTAATCATTACACTGTGAATTAATATCTTTACTGATGTATAAGTTTTATATAGCATGCATTGTTTAAAACAAAATGCTGATTTTTAGAATTATACAGCTCTTTTAAAAGTTTCCATATAGCTAATGTATTAAGGTAATTGATTCCTAATTTCATCCAACCGTAACATATGTACATCTGTATATAGCTATAAATCTCTACCTAACTACTTATATTCTTATATCATGTGTGTCTGACTGGTGTGTATAAGTGTGTGCATACCGTACACAGAGGCCAGAGGAAGGTGTCAGGTATCCTTGTTTATCACTCTCCTTTTTTATTTGAGTCAGGGTCTCCCATTGAACCTGAAATTCTTGTTTTTTGTTTTTTTTTTTTTTTTTTTTGCAAGACTGGCAACTAGGATGCCCTAGAAATCCTTTCACTGCCCAGATAACATTGGGGTCACAAGTGCTGTGTTGACATTGGAATCCAAAAGCAGGCCTTTTTACACAGCAAACTCTTAACCACAAGCCACCTCTCTGTTACATAAGCATTCTTTTGTTTTGTTTTTGTTTTTTTGGGACAGGGTTTCTCTATAACATTCCTGGCTATCTTGGAAGTCAGTTTATAGACCAGGCTGCCCTTGAACTCATAGAGATCTGCCTGCCTCTGCCTTCCAAGTACTGGGATTAAGGGTGTATGCTAACAGCCCCAGGGCTTTAAATTTTAGGAAGCTATCAAGTTCAGAGAAAGAGTTATTTCCAGAATTGCAATTCTTTGCATTTTGGAATCATCTTCTTCATGAAAAGAGTACTGTCTGTCTTCCCTGTTTTCTCTGATGTGGCATATCTATTTCTTACTCAGTTAGTTCTCTGGTAACATGGTATAACAAGCCCTTGTAAATGTGGAATTTACCACTTATGAAAAACTTATCTACAGTCATGAATTACGTACTTTGCATCTTTGTATTTTTAAGGTCATTTGGGGTCACAAGTGCTCTGTATTTTTTAAGGTCATTTAATTTTTAAGAGACTGGCTCACTACTGTTATACTGACCTTCAGTTCCTAGGCTGAAGTGATTCTCTTGTGTCAACATCCTGAATAGCTTTCCTCACAGGCTTCTCCACTGCTCTTAGTTTTCTGAAAATATTTGTAGATTGGAGAGGCTGTGGTCAGAATGTAAAATAAATAAGTAAATAAAAAACTTTTCTAGATCTAAACGTGCCTTTTTTCATTTTTTAGGATGCAGAAATTGAAGCAGAAGAATTTACTAGGAAACTATATATTGAACTCAAGTCTGCACCTCAGCCACACCTTGTACCTTTTCTTAAGGTGGGGATGGGTAGGGATGAATTTCTCTGGAAAAATTGTTTGGGTTAATTACTTTAATTTAAAACCTGAATGTCTTAATGTGACTGGAAATCAGTCGGAAGATACTTAATGATGAGAGGAACTTTAGTACTTTTCAAAAGCACAAGACAACATTCATAGTATTTATTTGAACAGTTTAGAAAAACAGGCATAACAGTAGCTTTAAAAATTCACTTGCATTTAGTTACGGTGGGGGTGCTTACATCACATGTGTGAAGGTCAGAGGACAATTTGAAAGAGTAGGTTTTCTCCCCCGTGGAGGTTCATAGTATAAAACTCTGCTTGCCAGGTTTGGCGGCAAACACATTTCACCCACTGAGCTATTCCACTGGTTCTCCCCCACCCCACAGAATAACATCTTTCTCATGAGTGTAACTTGATGACTTGATATTGTATAATGTTTGTATTGTAGTATATTAAAAGATTGATGTTTTGCTGTAGATATGGCTTAGAGGTTATGAACACTGGTTGCTCTTCCAGAGGTCCTGAGTTCAATTCCCAGCAAACTCATGGTGGCTCACAACCATCTATCTACAGTGAGATCTGGTGCCCTCTTCAGGCATGCAGGCATACATGGAGGCAAAATACTATATACATAATAAATACAATCTTTAAAAAAAAGATTTATGTCTTTAGTTTGCGTGTGTGTGTGTGTGTGTGTGTGTGTGTGTGTGTGTGTGTGTGTGTGTGTATTGAAACCAGAGGTTGAGGTTGAGCATCTCCATAAATTGTTTTCTACCTTATATATTGAGACAGAGTCTCTCACAAAACACAGCTCATGGATTTGGCTAGTTTCATTAGCCAGTTTGCTTCAGGAATGCCTGGTCTCTTTGTCCCAAGTGCTAGGTTTCGTGGGTGCTGGGGATTCAAACTCAGATTCTTAAGTGCTTTTTTGTTTGTATTTTTGGAGACAGGGTTTCTCTATAGCCTGTCCTGTATCTTGCTCTGTAGATCAGGCTGCCTTAAACTCACAGTGATCCACCTCTCTTTGTCTCCCCAGTGCTGGGATTAAAGACCTGTGGCACCAGCGCCTGCTCTCTTAAGTGCTTTTAAATTCTGAGTCTTCTCTCTACTCTCCTTAGTTTTGAGACAGGGTTTTAGGTACCTCTCATACTGTTTTTTCCGATAGCTTACCAAGCATTGGATTTCGTCCCCCACACCCATACTTAGTTTTAGTTGGCTCTCTTCCCCTTTCTGGCTTCTCTCTTTGTTCTCCTCCTCACTTAAACCTTTCTACCCCTAGAATTACCGTCTTTTGTATCATATATTTTAGTGCTTACCCCTCCCCCCATAGAATGTTTTTCTTTCTGTAGTATTGGTAATTGAATCTAAGGTGTTGAACTCTAGTACCCTAGCTAAATTCACTAACTTTCGTTTTCCTTCCTTCCTTTCCCTCCCTCCCTCCTTCCCTCCAGTTTTGTTTTGTTTGTTTGAGACAGGTTTCTTTGTGTAGGCCTGGCTGTCTGGGAACTCACTCTGTTGACCAGGCTGACCTTGAACAGATATCTTCCTGCCTCTACCTCTGGAGTGCTGGGATTAAAGGTGTGTGCCACTGTGCCCAGCTGTGTCTGCTTTCTAAGGACCACTTGCTATCTCCTGGCATCACTGAGAGTGCTTGGGGATTAAATGCTACATAGAAAGGACAGATTTGGCACTTCAGCTTAACCTTTGTCATAATTAGAAATAATTAAATATACACTTATATCATCTCTTTAACTTTCATTATTTTAGCATTTGTTTCCAGTTAGGTTTTTCTGAGAACTTCCTTTTACATTTCTAGTTGAAACATTGAATCCCTTTTCACTCTGTTAGTTTTACTTTGATGTAAAAGCTTTACATTGGATGTAAACTAGTGTGCATCCAATGTTTAAGAGCTATTTAATGAAATGACCTAGGTCCTCTGGGTTATAAATAATCTTACAGATAATAAAGTAATAATCAATAGTCTACTGATGAACTTAGATAAGTAGAGAGATGAGTTTTATTTTATCAAGTTGATCATTGACATATCCAAAATAGATTTAATATTTTCACATTTAAAGTAATATTTTCTCACTGAGAAAGCACTTTGGCCTCTAAATCCATGTACTGATAGGAAAACAAAAATACCAGTTTTCTCATATGAAATACTTTATATACTTAACTGTATGTTGTTAAATACAAATTTTGGTTTACTTTAAGCTTATTTCGTTAACTTTTATCTTCTTTCCTCTACTGTTTCTAGAAGAGTGTGGTTGCCTTAAGACAACTTCTCCCTAACTCCCAGAGCTTCATTGAGAACTGTGTTCAGGAACTCTCTGGTGAGGTGGTCGTTCCCTCCTGTACCACGACAGTAGCAACTCCTGTGGTGGTGACGAGTACTGTTTCCCCAGTCCTTGGCTCTGGAGCAGCAGCGCCCAGAACTCTGTCTGTTCAGACTCTGAATCCGCCTTCTGGTCCAGGAGGAGCCAACACTGGAGCTGTGACAGTGCGTCCTGTGGCCTCAGCTGCTGTAACAGGGGGTGCAGCACCTGCGACTGTGTTGCTGCAGACTTCAAAACCTCTGACAACGTCGGTTCCTAATCCAGGGACAGCAGTCTCCCTTCAGCCTGAGAAGCCAGTTGTGTCTGGGGCAGCAGTTACACTGGCCCTTCCGGCAGTGACTTTTGGAGAAACTTCGACCACACCTCTTTGTCTTCCATCTGTGAAGCCTGCTATTACCTCTGCTGGGACCAAACCTGAGAAAACTGTCATTGGCCCTCCAGTCCAGATGAAACTTGCACAGCCAGGCCCCCTCCTTCCACAGTCAGCTGGCATTCCACAGGCGGTCAAAGTCAAGCAGCTAGTGAGTAACAGTTCATTTCTTCCTCAGCTACCTACTCAGAAAACTTCACACAGTAAGGGGACTGGCAAGACTTTGTATACTTTCCAAATTTGACTAGTTGAGGTTTTTTTTTTTTTAGCCTTGCTTGGTCAATTTTCTTCTTTATAAGCTGCATAGAGAAGCTCATACATAGGGTTTACTGAACATTTGACAGGTATGTGAAAGTTGTGACTGTGTACTTCAAAATTTTATGTATATTTGTCCCTTCCCTTTCCACTCCCTTCCTCCTGCCTTCTCGTCTTTCTTCTTTTTCAGTGATAGAGATTGTGCTAAAATGCCTTAAGCATTCTATGCAAACATTCTCCCGTTTGGCTATATCGCTGACCGTTTTTATTTGTTTGTTTATTTGTTTGTTTAACTTATTTTCAAATTGATTTTAAATTTGTAGTCTAGGAAATACATGATTGTGCCCATATGTGTGACTGTGTATCTCCTAATGAAAAGGATGGTTTTTAAATTTACATAGCCAAACCTGTTGTCACACATGGGACATTGATATAAAATTTATTCATTGTCCCAATATTAATCGTTTTTAAAAATTGTTTTTAACATTGATTTGCTTTGTTTTGTGTGTGTGTGTGTGTGTGTGTGTGTGTGTGTGCTTTGCTAGCATGCATGCATGCGTGGGACTCACAGATCCTCTTCCCTCTGATTCCTAAGTGTTGGAATTACATTATTGTAATGATTTAAGTGCTTAGGCTAGATATTTGATAGAAGTCTCTTTGTTTTATATTATTGCTTCAATATTACATTAAGTCTAAATATTTTTGGAAGCTATTACATCGGTGGTTATTATGATGACATTATTTTAGTACTGACGATTAAAGCTAGGGCCTTGTTCATTCTGGACAAATGTTCTATCACTGAGCTGTAACTCTTTTGTAGTGTTCTCTCTCTCTGTCTCTCTCTCTCTGTCTCCCTTCCTCCCTCCCTCCTTCCCTCCCACCTTTCCTCCCTCCCTTCCTCTCTCCCTCCCCTCTCCTCCCCCCTCCCCTCCCTCTGTGTGTGTGTGTATCCACAGGTGTATAGAAACCAGAGATTGAAATTGGATTTTTTCTGGATTTCTGTCCACTTTATACTTATTTCTGCATACGTGTGTCTGAGTGAATATATGACACCTGTTTTCTGCTGTCAAAACTGGGAGCTGTAATTACATGCAGTTGTGAGCCTCCCAGTGTGGATGCTGAAAATTAAATTGTGTCCTCTGGAGGGCTGTCTCTCCATTCCCTTCACAGTCGAATCCTCCTGTTTCTGCCTCCAGTATTGGATTTATAGGCTTGCTCCACTATCCCAGCTTTGATGTGGGTACTGGGAGCACTATTCATTAAACTCCTCCTTCCACCACCCTTTTTCTTTTTCTTTTAAAACAGGGTCTTAGCTGGACAGTTGTGGCCTTCAATCCCAGCACTTGGGAGGCAGAGTCAGGTGGATCTCAGTGAATTCCAGGACACCAAGACTGTTAGACCAAGAAACCTGGTCTCAAAAAACAAAACAAAACAAAACAAAACAAAACAAAACAAAACAAAAAGTCTCTAGCAGAGCATGGCACATTCCTTTAATTCCAGCACTTGGGGAACAGTGGCAGGTGGATCTCTGTGAGTTTGAGACCAGCCTGGTCTACAAAGCAAATTCCAGGACAGCAGAGAAATCCTGTCACAAATACAGAAACCTAAAACCAATCCAGGGTCTCATTGCCCACGCTAACCTTGAACTTGCAACCCACCTACCAACCTCATATTACCAAGTAACTAGTATCATAGGCCTGTGTTGTTAGGTGTGATTCTTATTTTACTTTTAATATTTAAAAAATGCTAAGGAATTTAAAGTTGACAAGTAATTAAAGAATATTACTAGGTTTATTATAAACCATAATCCTATGTTTAGGTGAGTAAGAAAATGCTTTGAAATAGAACTAAAAAGAAGTAAGCAAACATTTCTTTATAGTTTATAGTTAACCACACATAGTTATTTAAAAATGAAAATCTCCACATTGGATCATATCTGTAGTCAAACTCTATTCACTATAAAGAAGATGCATATTATAAAGAATATGCTGTTGAATGCCCTGATTAATGTCAGGATACTTCCTTTAATAATTTTTTGGTGAACTGTAACTTGTTAATTAATTCAGATGTGTCTTTTCAGGCACTGCCTTAAAGTGAATGCAATTCTAGCATCATTAAAACCACACAGACACAATTTGACAGAGTATGAGACAAAGTTTATTCTTTATGATGTCTTTCTTTGTGTTCATTAAAAATCTGAGAAAGATTAGATCAGTCTCTTATTAGTTATCTTACATCAAGAGGAAAATAAAGCATAATTACTTAATGGATTCTGGAAGAATGGTTTGAAAAGACTTGACTTTGAGAGAGTAAGATTTCTCGCAAGTCCAATCACATGTCTGTAAATTGCACCCAGGAACTTAAATAAAAAACACAAAGCAGAGTGGTTGAAGAAGACTGTATACCTGTCTTCTAATACTACACCAGGTTCTAGGTCGGGCATGTGCTCTGAATTCTTGGATGGCTCTTTGGTCACTGCTACGTTTGCAAAAGTACTAGACTACGTTCTGGACTACGTTCTGGACTCTGGCACTCCGTTCAGCCCCTTTCTTCATCATGCTTTATTGCTACTGCTTTCCAGCACAGCCCTGCTTCCTTTCTCCCCTCAGTCTGCAGAGGCTGGCTGTCAGACCTGCTAATCTATTTTTCAATCAGACTTTAAGGAAGACATCATCTGTTCATAATAGGCCTTTTCTGAGATGAGCCTCATGCCAATATCATTATTCTTTAATAAAATTAACATAAGTAGCATCTTTGACATCAGAATATGTTATATCTTTTTGGTCTTCTGATATGTAAATGTAGCCATTGGTGAGACATCCAATACTGCTAACCAAAAGCTTTATCTCCTTCAGCTTCTCTTTGCCAAAATAGCCAAATCTTACTACTCTTTGTTTCGCAGTCAGCCAACCAATAACTACATCTATATTCATACTATGATAATTCTTTTAATATTGATCATGAGCTTAAGATTTTCTTACTATTTACCTTTCATTAGAATAATTCTGGAGAGTTTTATATCTTTAGGCTTTTGCATAAGATCTCCACACAAGTTGTAAGAATTCTTCCAAACTACCATTACATGGTTTCAATTCATATTTTATGAAATACATTTTACCCACCACCACTTTAAAGAGTGGTACATGCTCTCTTTTCTTCACATGTTACCCTTTTTTCCTTGTTAACTGTTATATGTTATATTCGGGGGTTGTATGTTATATACAGAGGTTGTATGAACTAAAATTGTTCAGTTTCTTTTATTTGTAAGCTTTTTATTTTGTACTCAAATATTTGAAATGTGAGCCTTCTTGGTAGTCTGGGAGTTTTTCTAAGAATTCAGTTCTTGTAAAAGCTAATTTTGCTAGCTCTCCATTTTTCCTATAGTAATTACACACTCAAAGTAAATACTACCTTTTGTTTTATCCTTAGCTGTTTTGTATAGAAACAACCAGGTGAGTTTTGATCTGGTTTATTTCCTGTGGCAGGTAAGGAATTGAAGTGCAGGAACACTCTCCAGTGAAGCAGGTAGCAGCAGAGACAACTCACCATAAGCAGGAACAGACAGAATCAGCAGTTTAAGAAAGGCTTTTGTTGAGGGAACACACATACCACAAACACACAGACAAAACAACCCAAAACTCCTAGGCATCATTTCTTGATGGCTCAGCTCAGGGCCCTAAGGTTCTCCGGTCAGTAGAGCTTCAGCAAAGTATAGCATCAGGCCAAGTAGGACAATGAGGAGGGTGATGACACTCCCGGGGTGGTACCAGTAGTGAGTCATAACACCTTGCACTGCATCTGAATGGTGCTCTGAACCACATAGGATCCAGAGCCCCTCCCATATCATTAGGCCACAGTGATGCTGTTGCAGCTGAAGGCTGTCACTTCAACGTGGGCAGGGCACAGGATACCAGGGTATTGGCACAGCCAGGCAGGGTCAGGACTAGCCTCAGGATTGCAGACCAGCAGAGACCATGGTAATGCTGAGGGGGCTGTAAAAGAGACTTCAAAGATTCCTAGGTCAAAAGAGAGATTCTTTTCTGATTGTCAGTCTGAATGCATAAAAATGTATTGCTTCATTAACTTTAAGCCCAAACCCTAGTAATTCAGAATATGCATGATCTCAGATCTCAGTTCATATCTTGATTGAAATATATATTATTTTTAAAAGAGTTCTTTTCTAGCCTGACTTTGTGGTTGAGGTCTGTGATCCTAGTTACTCAGGAGGGTGAGGTAGAAGCATCACACATTTAAAGCCCACCTAAGCTACTTAGTTTTAAGACTGTCTCAAAAACAAAACAAACACATAACACAACTTTTATCAAATAATGATGGCAAATGAATTATTCCAACTTACAACTCCATTGCTAGGAGGCCTCTTCTACCAAACAGTGATAGCAATTGAATTATTTCATTCTATGTTTATACTCTATGGAGACATTGGAATGCTTTGTGTTTCTTGTTATTTTTTTTTTTTGAGACAGATCTTATTATGTATCCCTGGCTAGCCTGGAACTTGCTGTGTAGACTAGGAATTCATAGAGATCCCCCTGCCTCCTGAGTGCTGAGATTAAAGATATGTACTCGCAATGCTTTGTGTGCCACATTTTTTTTAGTTGCACACACTTTATTTGTACATTTTTATTACAGAAATTGTAGCATAGAATAAATTGTTTTTATAAATTTTTACTTAGAATCATTTCTCTTGGGCAGGCCATTGCACTTTATATAAATATAAGAACTTGTAATTATATCACTATCAGTAGCTGACCCAAATACATGATGACCTTTTCTTCTTTGAAGTGAAAGTATGACATTCTGTTTTTCTGTCTTTTCTCTGAAGCCGAAAATAATAATCTTGTTAGTACTTTAGTTTCTCTTTATCCCTAATCATTACTGTATTTCTGTAACTATTATTTGAGAGAACAGTACTTTCTGAAAGGTTTAGGATGATACTTTTAAAAATAGTACATAAACATTCTTGTCTTTTATAGATATACTTTGGAATATTATGGATAAAAAAGATATTTCTTAAGCCAGGCAGTGGTGGCGCATGCCTTTAATCTCAGCACTTGGGAAAGGCAGGAGGATCTCTGTGAGTTCCAGGCCAGCCTGGTCTACAGCACAAGCTCCAGGACAGCCAGGACTGCACAGAGAAAACATGTCTGGAAAAATGCGAACAAACAAACAAAAATTTATTTGCTTTAAAATTGGGAAGCGGGTACAAGGTATAAGTGAAATGTGATTATGCAAGAATTAATCATTATTTAATCTGGCTAGTGGTGTAAATGATTTCATTTTTGTTCTCTATATTTTGCATGTGCTTGAAATTTTCCATGGTAAATTAAGAAAAGTATTATCTATATGTTTTATTTCTTAAATTTGAATTCTGCTGTAGAAAATAATGTTTAATATATGCAATAATGTTTTTCAGTTTTGAATGAGATAATTTTGCTTCATACAAATTAAACTATATTTAATATAGTTTAATATTAATATATACCACTATATTTGGGTGTAGTGGTATACACTCAAATCTCAGGTAGCATTCAGGAAGCCGAGGCAGGAGGATCCCCATGTCTGAGAGGCCATCCTGAAGATGAATTTTAAGTAGGCTTTCTTATTGTGTTAGAGAAAAACTATGGAAACTCTTGCTCATTGCTAAAGCATGCTTCCTTGAGTGGCTATAATGAACTGTTTTTGTTTCAGGTAGTTCAACAGCCTTCAGGAGGCAGTGCAGATCAAGTGACCACCATTTCCCATTCATCACCACTGACCACTCAGAAATGTGGACCGAAGATGCTAGCGAATACTATAGTGCCTACTAGTAAGTTACTACTAGTAAGTGCCTACATGTGGTACATGCTGGCATTCCAGCTTCATCACAGTGAATCTGGAATATGACAGAACTTGTACCTGTTGTATCAAGGGAAGACTGAAAGATAGTTATTACAGTTACAGAGACGTGTTTTAGGAGTATATATTGCTTTAAAACAAACAACTGCGTATGGCATTGTATTATTAGATAAAACATTCTAGTATTAAAAATAGAACAATGAGATATCAACATTTTTCTGTCACTTTTTGTGTATGATGTTTTTATAATGATGCTAATTCTAAAGACAATTTGAGACTTCATAAAAACATAATCTAGAGGTCTTTATGAGATGATTTCTTATGCAGGGGTTTCATTCAGTGTTCTTTTATAATTTAGACATAATTCTGTGATAACTTAAGATAGTCTTTGACTATTTTATATGTACTAAAAGCTGTCCTGAATTTTCCTGAAGTGACATGATTGCTTTTTTTTTTTTAAATTCTGTTTTCTTTCTTGTTTTGTTTTTACAGCTTCCATCATAAAACAAATTACTCTGCCTGGAAATAAGCTTCTCTCGCTTCAAGCTCATACATCTTCTATTCATAACAATAAAATAAAAGAGAATGGAGCAACACGCTTCAGGTAAAGAAAATCAGTGGTTAAAACTTGATCTCATGTGTGGAAATAAAGTTTTAGAGAAAAAAGATGTTAAACAATAATGTATAAATAGACAGATACAAATGTCATTTATAAATACTGAAGAAATAGCCCTGGTTTGATTCATAACCTTCTCTGAGCCCAGTTTCAGTGAATCCAGTGGCCTCTTCTGGCCTCCTTGGGCACCAGGCATTTTTGTAGTGTATAAACATAAATCAGGTAATATAACCACATCCTTTATAAGTAATTTAAAATTACCGACTATAATTTACAAATATCAGACACAAATCTTATGTGCTTCTTTCAGTGGATTGGGAAAGCCTGCATAGTAGTAGTCTAGACTCAGGCACTAAGCATGTCCATTATCACCTTCATGTCCTCTGCAGGTCGTTCAGCTTCGTCCCACGCTTCTGCCAGGCCCTATTCTTAGGCTTGCCACTGCACATACAGATCATTTTTGTTCATTCTTGAACTTTATAAAATAGATATTATTACTATTATCTTCTTTTTTTCCAATTTTGTTTCTGTAGGTAATGATAATTAGGAATGTTATGAAAATATTAAGTGTAGGGCTGGAGAGATGGCTCAGAGGTTAAGAGCACTGGCTGCTCTTCCAGAGGTCCTGAGTTCAATTCCCAGCAACCACATGGTGGCTCACAACCATCTGTAATGAGATCTGGTGCCCTCTTATGGCCTGCAGGCATACGTGGAGGCTGAACACTATATACATAATAAATAGATATATCTTTAACAAAAAAAGAAAAAGAAAATATTAAGTGTAAAATTCTGGAAATAATCCATATGTTTTAATGTGTCATTCTGAATGGCATGACAAACACGTTGTCATCACGTTCAGCAGGTGAATCATCCCTTGTTCAATGTGTCCAGAATTGATATGCTGCCCACTTCTTGGTCAGTTGGTGGCCACCACATTTATCAAATGAGTCAGTGCATATGTTAAGGTAGTTTAGGTTCGACTGTCACAATGCCTGTGTCACTCACTTTGCTTCATCTCTTAGGTAGGCATTTTATTTTCTATTCATGTCATTATGCAAAGGGTGAGTCCTGGTTATTTTGAGAACTGAGAAGAACCTCATCATATTCTTGTTAAAGTACATTGTTATAATTAATTCTAATTAGCCTTACTCTGCCTAATTTACAGATTAAACTTTATTGTAAATGTCTGTTTATAGAAAAAAAAACAACTTATGTAGGTCTTGGTTCTAGGACTTCTTGTTCAATTCCAAAGTCCTTAGATGCTCATCTTTTCGGGGCTAGATGTTTTTGACATTTATGCCTTTTTTATTGTAGTTGTTTCTCTTTTTTCTTGTGGTACTCTGAGTTTATAATTTAATCTTCAGAAAAGGTACTTCTCCTTTTACATTTCTCTTGTTAAGTATCTGTTTCCAATTATTTTCTGATTTGGGGTATATTAGCCATTCTCTGATAGTGTATTTTGTCCTTCTAGCCTTTGCTACCTCTACTTTCTCTTCTCTGGGGCTTGAGGCAGGTGCCCATGGCATGTTGGACAAATATCAGGCATCATAGATCAGTGGCTTCATCCTGATTTTTCTTTCCATTTTTCATTAGAAATAATTTGTAGTTTGGATATTTAGGCTACACAGAGACTGTAGCTATTGTTCAGTATTGTTTTGGGAAGAAATCTTGAAAGACAATAGGGTATTTATGGAATAGTGTTTTCCAGTTCAGTAGGTTTTAGCAAAAGGGTAAACCCATATACCCTAATCAAGATAAAAAGAATATTTTCAATATCCCACAAGGTTTTTTTGTGCTTTTTTTTTTTTTCCGTCATCCAGTCCTCACATTACACCCTGGGCCCAAGTCTACCACTGATCTGATTCTTAACATTGGAAGTTAGATTGAGGGTTAAGGGGCTCCCCATTTCTAGCCTCTAAAGTTGGAAATTTAGTTCATTAAACTTCAGTTTTTCTTGATCTAAACATTTCAAACTGCCAAATTCCCTTAAATACTGACCATTAAAGTTTTGCTTTATTCATAATTCAGAAGGTTGAGACTTTCTATTTTTGTGATTCCCAGAGGAGACATTATTTCTTGGAATGCCTTGTCTACAATTCCTTCTCAGTGTCCTATGTCACCACAATTAAAACATTTGGCATTTTAGTGTCTCTTCATACTTTTGGAAATTGCTTTTCCTACCCAAGCTTCAGTGCTATAGTCAAATGTCTCAATGTTCATTGTATGCAGGATCCATTCATCCATTGGTGCTGATCTAACCTTTAAAGGCCCAAGTATCTTTTTGTATTCTATGTTGATGTTTTCAAAAGCCAGAGATTCAATAAATACTCATCTATCTTCTGGGTCTGTTACTTCTATTTGTACAGCCTTAGTTAATCTTTGTAAAACATCACTAATGTGTTGTTCTCTTTGGCCTTGTTTAACCCTTACATTTGACTCAGTGTTTTTCCTCCTGATTCTTGAATTTTGTTGGAAGCATTTAAGGGTGTATAGCATAGGAACAAGGTGTGTTGATCATAAAGAGCTTGATCCTGTGGATCAGCATAAAAGCCCTCACCAAGAATTTGATCTTTGGAAGCCTAAAATCCTTTGACTCTTCCCTGTTGTTCTAATACTTTAACCTTTTCTCGCTAGTAGCACTTCCATTGTAATTATGGCTCATCTTCAAGGACCATTGAGACTAATTGAATTCTATCAAATGGAGTAGCCATATTGTTTGAAGCCCATGTCTTTACCATCTCCCTAACAAATAGTGAATGCAAGCCATAAGATACTACTGCTTGCTTAATTTCTTTTAGATCGTTCATACATACAGGTTTCCATTTACATTCTTTGAATCCTTCTGGGTATTTAGTGCTTGATGGTTTATCAGAGGTGATATTGGTAAGTAGCTAAAACTGTTGGTAAGTCTTCTCTGACTCTGACATGTACTGGCATTGCTAAATCCTTTCCTTGTACCTTCTCTCCTTGCTCATCAGTTCTGATAATTTCCTCAATTTAAATCTTTTTACCACTGTCTTTTGTAAAGTCTGAATCTCTTGACCTGTGAATATTTCTAATGATTTAATCTGGTCCTTATTCTACACATATGATCCCAAGGTATGAAATTTTTTCATTAATGATAACTTCTCATCCTTGATTATTATTTGGATGGCATGCAGATTGCCTTTCTGGAGAGATACGCTATCTGCTAAGTCATCATAATTTTTAACAGGTTTTGATTGTCAATTTTAATAGTATGAATTATTTCAGACAAATTTTCAGCACCCTTTTGTAAGGTTTCACAATCTTCTGAATGGATTGAATTTTGTCTGTCAGATTGCTGGTATCCTTTTCAACGACATTATTTTTTTTTTTCAGCCAACTTTTGATTTTTAATGGTATAAATCCTGTCAGCTAGCTAGCTGTTCATTATTAGTCTGTAATGACTGTATCATTTTTAAAAGTGCCTCATTCTTGACTCTGGTATCAAACCATTTTTAAGGATATGATATGAACACAACTAAGCCCTAATATCACATAAATGGATGTATCAGAAAAACCCCATAAGCCTCACAGAATTCCATATATAATATAAGCAATATTTTATTAAGTTTATTAAATTCCTGGGTGGTGATATTGTCTGCAATTATATAATTTTCAAATTTATTGATTTATTCATTAATCAAATGAACTTACCTCCATTATGAGTCTTTAGTAAATTGCTGTAGGTGTAACAATATTTATTGACCAGCAGTGTCACTGTTTTGGTTGCTCGCAACCAGCAGCGACAAGGCAGGTTCCAGTACCTAAATCTGCTGGAATTTATTTACTAAAAAATTTAGTTAATTAAGGGCTGTGCTTTTATATATGGAAAAGTAGTTGAGCTGATCAGAATATCAAGGAACTCAGAGCTTGCAGGCAGTCGTGATCTGCAAGTGCAGACCAGAGAAGTCTGTGCTTCCAGGTGGTACGCAAGGTGCCACACAGGAAAGTACGCATCCGGGAACAGGCCACGGGGAAAGCCACCAGGGTGCGGGAAGGAAAGCATTCAGAGCTCGTAAATTGTTAAATTGCCAAGTTGCCGTGCAGCATGCCTGCCAAAAATGTTGCTCTGCTGCAGCGTGATTTGGCAAACAACCTCTTAGTTGAAATCAAACCAGGCAGTTGAGGGTGATGGTGGTGGGGACCTTGTGGGTCAGTCCCATTAGGCATGGTGTTAGAATCTTTGTGGGGTGCTAAATGTAGTATTGTATTTACTATGGAGCATAGTAAAGGATTTTTTATTTAGGGGTAGACTCACAGATCAATAGTGTTCTGCACGAGCAGGAGACAGGCACTGAATCCAACAGCCACATGATGTCTTGACTTTGGAGTCCTTTGTGTACTCAGGAGAAGGATAGTTGAGTCACTTTTGTACATTTGATAAACCTGTATGAATTTTCATAGTGTCTGAACTAGATTGCATTCTCAGAAGCATTCTCACCTTCTATTCACATCTTTGCCAACATTTTTTTTATTTACTTATTTTATTTAAGACTCTTATTTTGACTGGGTAACATGAAATCTAATGTCGTTTTAATTTAGTTTATTTAGTTCGTTTTTCATCTTTTGAGATTTGTCTTCATTTCATAAGCTACTTTAAATATTGGATCATTTGATTTCTTTTTCTTTAGTCTTTGAGTGTTCTAGGTATTAATACTCCGTCAGCAAAGATTTTTTTCCCCTTTCTGTAGTTTGTGTCCTTATTTGTTAACTCTTTCCTTTTCTGTGCAGGAATTTTAATTTCATGAGACCCCATTGTTTAGCTGTTTATATTATTTTCTGAACGTTTCCCTACATTTTCCTCTAATGGTTTCAGAGTTTTAAGTCTAGGTCTTTGATCCATTTCAAGTTCATTTTCTTAGAGGGCAAGAGGTACAGATCCGTTTTCATTCTTCTGTTTTTGGATATATCTGTTTTCCTAGCCCCATTACTGGAAGAGGCTACATTATGTTTTATTTTGATGT